ACAAGGACTCCAGAGCAGTGGTGGGGGGCAGTTGAAATCAGATGAGGAGCTGGGGCGGGTTAGACAGCAATAGGATAGACATAGACTGGAGGGGACAGGGAAGAAGGGTCTTTGACTACTTGAGACCACTCCGTTCTCCGAACATTTGATGCATGGAAAGCAGGGGAGGGGGAGGAGCAGGGGGTGGAGCGCTCAGGGGAGGGGGCGGAGTTGGGGCGGGGAAAGGGCGGAGTTGGGACAGGGCCGGGGGGCGGGGAAGGGGCGGAGTTGGGACAGGGCCGGGGGGCGGGGAAGGGGCGGAGTTGGGGTGGGGCCGGGGCCCCTTGGAGTGTCCTCTTTTTCCAAGCCTGCAATATGGTAATCCAGCAAAAGCCTGTTTCACATTGTGCTTACTAAAAAATAACACCTGTTAGTCTAAAACCTAGGGGACAACTTTTAAAATTTGCTTGTTACTAAAAGCTTATGGTTTTAAATTTTATAAAAAACCCTCTGTAAAAGGGCTACATGGTAAAAAAAAATGCGAAAGTTCTGTTTCTTTAGATAAGAATAAAACAGTTAAAAGGGAGTGGGGAGAGAGGAGGAAGTTGGCTCTTGTTTAAAATCTTGGGACTCTAGAATTGGTTCAAAAAATGAATTCTATGACGCTGTTGTAAAACAAACTCTAATTGGTCCGATTCAAAGGCGATGATAACAAGTCTGAGAAGGTCTGAACCAGGGACAGAAAGACTTAAAAGGTGAGAATTCTCTCTCTCTCTCATTTTCTCTCTCTCTGACTCAACCATGTGCTGTCTATCTTTGCCCTTTGCAAAGGGGGCTCTCTTTTCCCTTTTCTTGCCCTGTTCTTTCTTTTAACCTCTTTTTTTCTTAACCTACCCTGATACTGAATGCTTTTTTATTTACTTTTTTACCCTGTGCTTACTAAACAGACTCTGCCTGCTTCTCTCTCTCTCTCTCTCTCTCATTCTGATTCCACCATGTGCTGTCTATCTTTTTTTTTGTCCTGTTCTTTCTTTTAACCTCTCTTTTTTCTTAACCTACCCTAATAGTGAATAGTTTAAATGCTTTTTTAATCACTTTTTTAACCCTGTGGTTACCAAACAGGCTTTGCCTTAGTAAATGCCCTTTTTAAAACTAGTTTTCAATATTATTTTACTCTTTTTCTTAAACTAACCCTTTAAATTCAAATATTTCCTTTTTTCTTTAAGTTCTATCTTTCTATTCTTGAATAACCTGTCTTTACGAACCTCTCTCCTAGCTCAACCACCCCAAAGAACCTTTCTTTCCTTTTTTTCTCTAAAGCTTACTCAAACTTTCTTTTTTCATCTTTACACTCTCTCAATCTCTTCTTTCAACCTTTTCCTCTCCATGTACCCAAGCACAAACACACACAACACTACCCCTACTCAAACACACACACACAATTTTTCAAAATGGCCTACGGTGCCAAACTTTGGCGCCACCGGAAATGGGGTGGGAAGGTGGGACATAAGCCCTATATGGGCCCTAATTGGGCATGCAGACCTGTGAAAATTGCATGGTGATGAATACTATCGAGCGGTATACTACTTGTGTTATCTTATGCCAAGATCACTCGATAGTCCTTGGAGTTCAGGAATTCCTGATGCTATTTTATAATTTCTCCCTTCAGACTGACTCCTGTCTCAGAATAGATACAAGCTGGGCTTTGACCTTTAGACCTCGCAGTAACAAAAGTATGAGCTTCACCATAAACACCAGATGAGCAACAAGATTATCTTTTATGGGTTTGCTACAGGAGGTTTCATTCTGGGAGTAAGGTGAAAAAATAGTTTAAAATCAAAAACGTCAGTAAGGTTTTGAAGAACAGAAAAAGGAGGCTCCTCAAACCTGTTACCTTCATCCAAAGAGGGATACCTGGAAAAGAGCCTGGTGGATAATCAGCTGAACACGAGCTCCCTGGAAAATAGCCTGCTGCTGCCATGGAAACTTACTTTTCAGTAGAAGTGCGCGTGCTTCTTTAATGGCTGAATGATTATACTGTTCCTGTTACTTCTCCAATTTTATTTTCTGAGTGCGTGAAAGCATCTAGAGAGAGACCCTCCTGTTCAGTTTAAATCAAACAAACCTTTTAATCAAATACGTGAAGAGAAGTGGATATAAATAATTAATTATGCAGGCTCATAAATGGAAATATTTGTTTGCAATGTGAGAGAATAGATGAGGATTTAAGAGAAGCTGTAAAAACTGTTGAGCTCATGAAAACACTGGGAAGCTTCTTTCCAGGATCCATCAGGTAGGTGAGTTTTGGTTACTTAGTTATTGTTTGTTTGTTTTTGTTTTGTTATTAGTACAGTAACTCACTTAACGTCCTCTCGCTTAACGTTGTTTCGATGTTACATCCCTGCTCGGTTACAGAACATACTCGTTTAAAGTTGTGCAATGCTCCCCTATAACGTCGTTTGGCTGCCTGCTTTGTCTACAGCTGGCAGCCCTCCTAGATTCCCCCCCCCCGAGCGCCTCCCACCTGCCGGCGGGCCCTGTGAATCAGCGCCTTCCCCCTGCTCCCCCCACCTCCTGCCCACAACAATCAGCTGGCTTGCAACATTCAGGAGGCTGGGGGGAGGAGTGAGGACGCAGCGTGCAGCCTCCTCCCTCCCTCCCCTGCCTCCTGCCCACGGCAATCAGCTGGTTTGCTGCCAGCCTGTTTAATACCTGTATTAAATTACTTGTTTAAAAATGTTTAAAATGTGTATATAATGCCTTTGTCTAGAAAAATAAAATTTCCCTGGAACCTACCCCCCCACACACATTTACATTGATTCTTATGGGGAAATTGGATTAGTTTAACGTCATTTTGCTTAAAGTCGCATTTTTCAGGAACATAACTACAACGTTAAGTGAGGTGTTACTGTATTATTTATTTGTACTGTAGTAGCATCTGAGAACAGAAGCACTGGAACAGGGGGGCCAAGGGGCCATGGCACTCCCAGTTTTTGAAAGTGGATGGATGGGCCCCACCCCCCGGTCCCTCCCCTTCCCCCTGAGGCCCTGCCCTCAAGCCAGGATGGAAGGTGGAACCTGGCCCGAGTAAGAGTGGCCCGGGGAGCCCGGGCCACTGTGGGGAGCCACAAAGCCTCCACCTGTCAGGGTGGGGGGGCCTGAGAGCAGCCTCTGGCCAGTGTTCCTGCCCATGGGCTCTGTGCCCAGGGCAAGTGCAGGGTCCGTGGATCCCCACAGCTCCCCAGGCCGCTCTTACCCAGGCAGGATTCAGGCTTCCAGCGTGGCAGGGGGGCGGGGCCTCAGGGGGAAGAGGAGGGGCAGAGGCCACTGGCAGGGCCGGAGGGGAGGGCTTTGTGGCCCCACCATTTTTAGGAAGAATCTGTTGCCCCTGCATGGGAACCCCAGTCATTGGTCAGGACTCCATCATGGTAGGTGCTGTACAAACACCGAACAAACAGATTGCTTATTCTTTGGGGTTCTGAGCCCCTGTTCTCTCTCTGGAGTGTCTGGACCCTGATTGTCACAATACCATCCTTTTTTCTCTCTTTTTAATCCTTCCCTTTTCTCCCCCCCCCCTCAAAAAATTTTTTTTTTAAAAACCACAACTCAATAGTAGTTTGCCCTTGAACAGATGTTTATGCAGAGTTCAAGTTCTCAGGAGAATAAGCAAAGGTGTGCATTTATGTATTGTTGTTATATTATTGTAGATTAAGTTTTGTTGGGAGCTGAAATATGGAAATTTCAGTTCTAGGACAGGCTTGGATTTTTTTTTTCTGGTTGGATTGTATTGATTATTGTCTGCATAGCGTTGGGATATCTATTTTAAAAATGTATTTTATATCTTGACATTGAAATACAAATAAATGTAAATATATCCCATGGATTGTCACTAATAAATGTCTCTTGCTGTGAATGCAGATCAGTTCAAAATGTACATTCAGAGTACACCTCTACCCCAATATAACGCGACCCGATATAACATGAATTCTGATATAACGCGATAAAGCAGTGCTCTGGGGGAGGCGGGCCTGCGCACTCCGGCCGATCAAAGCAAGTTCGATAACGCGGTTTCACCTATAACACGGTAAGATTTTTTGGCTCCCGAGGACAGTGTTATATCGAGGTAGAGGTGTACATCTACACTGAAAAAAATGGCACTGAGTCTATGGGGCTAAAAGTAGCAGTGTGGGCATTCCTGCTTGGGCTGGACCCCAAGCTCTGAAACCCGGTGTGGGGGAGGGTCCAAGACCCTGGACACCAACCTGAGTGGGAAAATCCACACTGCTATTTTTAGCCCCGTAGCACAAGCCTCAAAACCCGAGTCAGTTGGCCCGAGCTCTGAGACTCTCTGCCTCTTTACACTACTGAAAAAAATCACTGCAGCTATTGTTAGAGGGCTTTCCCTTCACCTCCTCCCCTAGTTCTTGTCACGCAGACAGAAAGCAGAAGTCCAAAGTGCAGGCAACACGATGTTTATTGTGATTAGAGTCTATAACTTTGGCACCACAAAGCCATGTTTTCCAGTGTCCCGCTTCCCAGCTCTGACACCACAGAACCTTGCCCTCTGTCCCTGTTCCTCTCCCCTCCCCATTCCCCTTCCCCACCTCCTCCTTAGCAGGCCCAAATATACCTGAAGTGCACGCCCCTAGTCACACCCCTTACAACTTATGGTCATGTTCCGTTTTGGAGGGTCATGAATATATGGTCTTCACCCCACCTCTTTTGTATCCCATGGGAGGGGTGAGGAGTGAGGGTGTGCTACGGTCAGAGACAGGCATTTCTTTGTCCTTTTAGTATGTTATACCTTTTCCCCCAATCCACTCTTGCCCCTCCCGACTTGTTGCTTGGCCTTGCCTTGAGAGAACAGCCAGGCAGCCTTCCAATGTATGCTCATATATACAAATTTTATTAAGATGATGTTTTTAAAAAGTGAACAGTACAGAGTTTAAGCATAGAAGTTTCTGGTTATCAGGGAATAATGTACAGATTATCAAGGGGTGTGAAGTTCGGTTTAAGATCGGATGGCGTAAGGAATACATAATCTGCAATATCCCTGATTGGTGGTAAAAGGTTAATGAGTCAAAGTACAGACATTGTGATATGAGGGTATGTTGTTCATATAATGGCTATGTTCAGGTGTGGAGTATAATGAGTGGATACGATGATGAGGATGGATTAACCCTCATTTGGTGAGATTTAACGTTCAGTGAGTTTATGGTTCCAGTTCATATGGTCCAACGGAAAAAGTCTCTCAGTCCCTTTCTTGTAGTCGATGCACAATGTTGCTCCACCTCCACTCCCACCATACCCTGTAACACTTTAGTTCCATCTCTTGTCTTTTCTCATTGTACTAAAAGCCCCATCTGGTTGCAGGAAATGCAACACACAGCTATTATGCAGATAATGGGGGGGAACCACTTTTTGCCACTTTGTAACTTTTCCAAAGTTGAGGAAGTTTTGAAAATGTAGTGTGTAAAATACACAAATGACAGAAAAACCTAGATATAATTCATTCTGTGTCATTCAGGGGAAAACAAGGGAAATGGGGGGGAAAAGGGAGAAATTCTGAAATCTCAAATTTTTAGAAATGGTTTGCTTTTTTAAACCAAAACAAATGAAAACATTTATTCAAAATGAATCTCAAATTTTAACCTAATTTAATATTGACATTCCCTGTTGGAAAAACTGAAAACAAATGGAAAATTACATTTTCCCATGAAAATTTTCATTTTGAAACATGTCAACCAGCTTTATTCATCCTAAGCCTGGAACCATAAAGGGACTTATGCATTGTGACGCTGAGCACTGTAATGTCTCACTTTTTGGTGTCAAGAAAATCAGGGGAAAAATGTGTTCCACAAATCCTGAGTTAGGTGACTAGGTTCCCTATAGAATGAATAGGGAGACATAGATGCCCAAGAATGTGATCCGCAAAAGCCAGCATGATAGGTAGAAAGCTGACTGAGAAAGCCAATCGGAGATGTCAAAAAAGGGCTGCACTAAGCCCTACACCTCTCATGGAGGTAGGAACCTAACTCAGGCACCTCCCTGCAGCCCAGTCTCTGCTTGAAATCCACAATTGGGAACTCCTCTTCTGCCTCCCTCAGTTCTTGTGAAGAATTGTTAGGCGCCTGCCTCATTCCACACCACATGGACAGAGGAGGAGTCCATCTTCTAACTTTTAGCCCAGTGGTTAGAGCACTCACCTGGGCTGATGTGGGGCACCCTCAACCTCAAACTATGTGGTACGCCCTTCTGGGGGCACAGAATTTATTGGGGGGGGGACTGAGAAGCTTTAGAGGAAAAAAACTTACTGCACACATTTTACCCACAGCAATGAATAATTAGTAAAGCTTACTCCTGAGGGAATTCTTTGCCAAAAAATTAAAAATTCTGCACACAATATTTTAAAATTTAAAATATGCCAGCAAGTTAAAGAAGTTAAAGAAGTATGGGCTGGATGAATGGGCTCAACGGGTAGTGATCAATGGCTCTATGCCAGTATCAAGTTGAGTGCCCCAAGGGTAGGTCCTGGGGCCAGTTTTGTTCAATATCTTCATTAATGATCTGGAGGATGGCGTGGATTGCACCCTCAGGGAATGTACAGAATGAGGGCAACCTAACCTCACATCTCAGCAAGGATCTTTCTAGCACCTCAAGATAAAGTATAAATGACGGTCAATGATATCACCATTCGGCTGTTCTCCTCCCCCATCCTAATACCTGGAAGATTATTTGGAAGACAAAGACTTTGAACTGGGGAGATTGGTCCCAGACTGAGAAGGGAATTCAGCCTGTGTATTGGGAATTGTAAACTGCCTGAAACATCCAGTGGGGTGAGAGAAGCTGTTTGTTTCAAATATTGCTTAGTCTATTAAAGTTAGAATTTAGACTATGATTCTATTTTTATTTTTTATATAACCAACTTTGATGTCTGTGCCTAACACTTATAATCAGTTAAAATCTATCTTTCTGTAGTTAGAAACTTATTTTGATGTCTAATTTGTCTAAAGTGCTTGGGGATTCTGCTCAGATTACAAAGGCTGGTGGATGTCCAACTTCCTTTGATGAAGTGGCAAACTAATAAACGAGCTTGCACTGTTCAAGAGAAGGTCTTGAGCAGTCTGAGATGGTATATCACTGGGATGCAAGGTTGGGGGCTGGGGAAATTGGCTGAAGTTTCCCTGTGTATAATTCATGAATGGCTTAGAAAGCATTCATGCAACTCAGCTGGGTGTGTGCCAGCACATGTTGATGGGTGAGTGATCACAGCACTTGGAGGGATTTGCTGCTTATCACTAGCATAGAATTGTGAAGGACAGCCCAGGCTGAAAAATTTAAGGGGACTCAGCGGTCCCACAATCTAGGGGTATGTCACAGCCCCCGCCCCCCACCCAGGATGCCATTATATAAAATTGTGTGTTAGCTCTGTGTGTAATGATACTTGGGGAAGAATTTGCTGTTGTTATTCTGGACGCACAAAATCGCAATGCTTGTCATGGAAGACTAAGGTACACTGATTGGAAAGTTCCTTGTGTATTCTCTCTGGTAAGAGAAAATGTGGTTTTGTTGAGGAGAATTAGGTGCTATGATGTTCACACAGCCATCCCTAGAGGGCAGAGAAAATGATATTTTACTCATCATGTTCAGATTGGATGAGTCATCTAGGCCATTAACTTCTGGACAAATATAATGGCTAAATCTTCAGTTTTGCACCCATCGTGTGACTTAATAATATATACTTCTGCTAGAAAGAGTTACCTCCTCCTCTCCCCCCATGGCTGGCTATTAGCGTAGAGCTAGGCAGCCTTTGAGCAGACCCACTGGATTGGGCCCCGCACAAAAGATCGATGCTTTGAGGTTTTTAAGGCCCGGCTTGACAAAGCCTTGGCTGGGATGATTTAGTTGGTGTTGGTCCTGCTTTGAGCAGGTGGTTGGACTATATGACCTGCTGAGGTCTCTTCCAACCCTGATATTCTATGATTCTATTCTTGCCAGCCAAACTTCCCCTGGTTTGTGGATCGCACTGAGACTTGGACACCTGGATACCTGTCTCCTACCTAGGGTGAGGCAACAGTGAGTACATCCAAAGGCAGAAACCTGGGGCTTAGGCACCTAAGTACCTTTGTGGATATGGCCCATTGTCCCCGGATAGGTGAAAAAACATTGGAGGGGAGTCTTTGTGGTTAAAAATGGGAATTATTTTCTAGGACACATTTTGAACATTTTATTCTTTTTTTTTTTCATTTGAATTTTTTATGGCATTTGCCAGGTTGTTCAATGGAACAACTCAAGCATTTTTTTTAATAATCCGAACATTTTTATTTTATTTTATTTTATTTTTGGATTTTCCAATCTTTTTCTCCTACTCTACACCCCCTCCTTTTTTTTCTTTAAGAAAGGATAGAGGGAAAATCACACCCCCAGACACCTCACAAAAAATCTTTTGATTCCATTTGAAATAAGAAAATTCATTTTGAAATATTTTGCTGAAAAATTACAAAAAAAAAAAGAGTAAAATAATATTGAAAACTAGGTTTAAAAAGGGCATTTACTAAGGCAAAGCCTGTTTGGAAACCACAGGGTTAAAAAAGTGAAGAAAAAAAGCCTTTAAACTATTTAATACCAGGGTAGGTTAAGAAAAGAGCCTTTAAAAACATTAAAAAATTTGTGTGTGTGTGTGTGTTTGTGTTTGTGTTTGTGCTTGGTTACATTGAGAGAAAAAGGTTGAAAGGAGTGAGAGAGTTTAAAGATGAAAAAAGAAAGTTTGAGTAAGGTTTAGAGAAAAAAGGAAATTTGAAAGAAGAGAGGTAAGTTATTCAAGAAAAGAGGCTGGTAAAGGCAGGTTATGAAAGAATAGAAAGATAGAACTTAAAGAAAAAAGGAAATATTTGTTTTTAAAGGGTTAGTTTAAGAAAAGAGTTAAATAATATTGAAAACTAGGTTTAAAAAGGGAAAGGCAAAACCTGATTGGTAAGCACATGGTAAAAAAGTGAATAAAAAAGCAACATTAAAAACTAGGTTTAAAAAGGGAATTACTAAGGGAAAGTCTGTTTGTGCTTACCAAACAAACTTTTTTTTTCTTTAAGAAAGGATGGAGGGAAACCAACAAAATCACACCCCCAGACACCTCACAAAAAATCTTTTTATTCCATTTGAAATAAGAAAATTCATTTTGAAATATTTTGCTGAAAAATTACAAAAAAAATATCAAATAACAGGAAAACTTTTATTTTTTTAATTTTGTCTTTTATACAACATATTTGACCAGTTCCAGTGTTATGAACTGTCACCATTTTATCAAAAGTCTTGACATATATGATGTTTTCCTTACAGCCCCCCGTTCTAGTCCTTTGATTATGAGAATTTCAGCTTTCATTTTTATTTTAAAAAGCAAGTTTCTAGCCCTTATGGTTACAGGAAAAAGCTAAAGAATATGACCTGAGTGCAGCCTAAATGCTCAGATACCAAAAGACAAATATAAAGAACCCATAATTTTTTGATCATGTGGAAGGCGAGAGATCCGTGTTCCCCTCCATGAGTAGATCTATAGGATATAATTTGGTTACATGTTATGTACAGTATCTAGCTCAATGGGGTCTGATCAGTGACTGGTGCTCCTAGTTGCCACTACAAAGCAAACAATAAATCATCATAGTATGTTCTGTCCCTGTATATTTTCCATCTGCTAAGCTTTCTGCACAACTTACTTTAATGTGACATTGTCTCGTTGCTTCCTGCTGGGGAAAAAAAGGAGAAGTCTGGGTAGGGGATTATGAGATTGTTGTGATAAAAAAATTGAACAGCCATAATTTTAATTTCAAAAAGGCATAGTATTGTAGGGACAGATTTTTGAAACCTATCAGGGTTGGTTTAACCTTCCTGTCCCCAGTAGAGTAGCTATAAATATTCCCATTGACTTCAGTGGGGCACAATTAGGCCAATTCTCAGTGATTTTCAAAATCCTACCCTTAATTAATATTCAAGGGATTAATATATAAATTTTCTCTTTTTTGGTGATGGGAAATTAATATCATTTTACACTGAACTGCCTTTTTGTGTGTGGACTTGTAATGGAAACTCAATTTCAACCTTAAATATGGAATGATTGCTGTCACTACATAATTTGAAAATGAGTTCACTTAACAATTAATTTATCCTTTTTTATTTAATGTATCCTCTGTAATCTTCTATTCCTCAAACTCCAGTATCCAGCTGGTCATAATCACTGCATCCTACTCACTAGGGTAAATTGTTGTTTTGTGTGTTTTTTCTCTTCCTGTGTTCTAGATGAAGTTTCAGTGAAGATGAATTTTTGTTCTGCCACAACTCCAGATTCAGCTCCTCTTTGCTTGGTTTTATTATTTATTTTGTGACTTTTTATGTTCACAAGTTGGAAACAGGTAGGAACCTTCACTGCCTCTGCTGCTTCCCATAGGATTTATTTGGGCCCCAAGCCTGCAGTCCCTTACAAATAGGCTTATCTTTATGCCCTGTGAGTAGTCCCATTGAAGTCAATGGAACTAATCCCAGTGTGTAGACATAAGCACAGAGCAGGATCAGGGCTGTAGTTGTTGTTTTTTGGCTATATTTATGTTGTTGCTGGACTATTTGACCTGAGCTTGGGGTAATCTGCAGCTCTGTCTGTTCATACCTGTATTTTGTAAAGATTGCCAAGGAGGCCCAGCTCATTGGATGGACACACTTTTACTGCTGAGTAACACAAACCTGTATAATTAAAATTATTGGATTTTTATATTTACAAAAAGGGTCCGTCACTCTCTTTAGTTGCCAATACAAAGATGAATGAAATCTAGCACACATTCAAACAAACTGGTCCAATAGCGGGTTGGTTGGTTGGTTTGGTTTGTTTTAAAAACACCCTCCTGCCTTCCTAAGCCTTCAGGACTAATAATTCCCCAACACACCTTATCTCAATTGCATCCTCTTCCATCCATTCCCTGCCCAAGACAGAATGGACTGTAGATGTATCAGACCAGTGTGGTGTTGCATTCTTCTCACCACCATCTCTCTCCCACTAAAACCAGTGGGACTGTTAGACTGAGCATCCCAGCGCTCTTCGCCACTGTCGTATCACATGGGGAGAGAGGTGGTAGCCTGTTCCAAGCCACTTAGTGCTTCCCATGTCAAAAACCAAACACCTTGAATTGCACCAGGAATATACTGGGAGCCAGAGCAGATCCCAGAGCTCAGGGGTGCAGAATCCTGTTTGAAGATTACAGATTAGCAAGCAGAAGGTGACAGTCTGCAAGAGCTGCCAACTAGTCTTCAGGCAATAAAAGGATTCCTACACTGCGAATCTGAGCACAGAAACTGGTGGGGCCCTGAGGAGCTGATTCAAATTCCACTAAAAGTCTTTGCATTCACATCAGTTGGATTAGATCAGGTCCCCAGCCCCCTAAAATTTCCTCCAGTTTCTTACCCTAGTTTACCAGGCCTAATCCTACCCTCTGTGCACCACCATGCTACTGCTGGGGTGGCACAATTGAGGGGGCAGAAAAAAAATGTCTTGTGTGTCCTGGTATATTTCACAATACAGTGTATGATGATTAGACCTGCCTCTGCCATTGTCAATTATCACATTTTGTTACCCTGCTCCTCAGGATGAGCACCCAGAATATACACACTTCAGGACACAGAGTGTTCATTCACAGAGCCCTTCACCCTGGTGTTGTAGTGCTCAGCATTTGGTGCTGTCACTGCCATAGCCTGCATTCGATTCCCAGTCAGGGAAGACTAGCTCTTTGCCATAGAGAAATTCTGCAGCCTGTGTTACACAGGAAGTCAGACCAGATGATCACAATGATCCCTTCTGATCTTTGAACCTATGAAATAGCTCCCTGAAATATAAAAATATATAAAACAAGACCTGGCTTGTGTGTGAGACTGATTACATGTATAGGATCTTCTCTCTGAGTTTATTTTCTTTATCTCCTGGTACATTTCTCAGCTCAGTTTAAAGTGATTGGACCTGACCAGCCTGTCACAGCCATTGTGGATGAGGAGATAGTGTTACCCTGTCACCTGTCCTCCAGGATGAGTGCTGAGAACATGGAGGTGACATGGTTCCGGTCCCAGCTGTCCCCATTTGTGCATCACTATAGTAATGGAAAAGACCAATATGGGCAGCAAATGCCAGAATATCAGGGGAGGACAGAGCTCTTGAAAGATGGTCTCGCCAATGGGAGTGTTGCCTTGAGAATTTTCAGTATCAGACTCTCTGATGAAGGACAGTACAGCTGTTTTGTTCAAGATGATATCTTTTATGAAGAAGCCCTATTGGAACTAAAGGTGGCAGGTCAGTAGCCTGTATCTGTATTTCCTTCAAGGATGGCTCTGAGTGATTCGAAGGGCTTGTTGACGTTGGGGTTTATTTTTCAGTAGCTGCAGCATTTTTTAATAAAAATGGCCCGCATCCACATGAAGCTAATCTTCTTCCAAAATACCTGTCCAGTTAGTGCAAACTGGATAATCCACTTTAAAGGCCATGCAAATCCATCTATAACCCCCTGTGCATGGCCAAGCTTTATGACCTCTGCCATCAGCACCATCTTTATAGTAGTGCATGTGTCCATGACAACAGCCCTGACGGCTGATCTACCAACACCAGATTGTTGAGTTACTGACTGGTAGCAATCAGAGATAGCAATGGCCACGCGCTTCTCCACACGGAGGGGAGCTCTCATGTTGGTGTGATGCTGCTGCAGCACCAAGGTGAGCTCTACACAGCTCTGTAGGAAAGTGGCCTTTGTCAGCTAGACATTCTGTCTCCATTGCTGGTCATCCCAGGACCACATGACTAGCCTTTCCTACTAGTCAGTACTGGCTTCTGAGCACACAAGACCGTGCTCAGTCAAGTAAAGTTGCTCCAAGAAAAGTTTTTTTCCACAATTAGAGGCTAAATTGCTTCCTCCTCCTCTTCCTCTACCAAAATCATTGCAGTAGCATGGTGGCTTCCAAAGCCACCTGGTTATGTGATCACAAAAATATGTGCAGCAGCCTCTGTGTGTTAGTGAGTGTCTGGCCCATGGCACGCGCCAATGCACCCCCTCCCCCCCGCACCCCCAATGCTGGCTGACACTATGCGGAATTCCCTTTTTGGTACCATTCATTTCCTCACAGGAACTTCAGTATGTCACTTTTGAAAGTAGGACTTAAATTCCTAATTCAGTTAGGTGACTTTGAACATTTTACCCATGGTCTGTTGCGGAGGTAGAATATTTATTGTATCAAAAGTGAAGTAAATTGGAGAAGGGGCTCCTGAATTATTACGCCTTCTTTATCAATAGTCATCTAATATTTTGCCACTTTCAGGGTGTGGGATGAAGAGAATAAAACAGAGATATAACATCTGATTTCCTGTATTCACATAGTTAAATCTAATGCCCAGGACTGAATTTTAGTTTCCTGCGGTAATTGTCATTATATGAAAATACTCTTCCAAACATAAATAACATCCTTTATAGTGGAACAGACCTGCACAGTCTTCACATTAACTGGAATTAATTATACAAACTAGCCACATCCATGCCAGTCAAGAATGCCCATTCCTAACCTATGGGCACTAGATACCCCACATTTGAAAAAGAGTACCTAATGATCTGCTGGCCCTGGGACACTCTGGTGTCACCTTCTGGAGATTTATTTTATTCTGGTGAAGGCTACATAAAACTTTGAGGAAGATTTCATCCTGTGAAAGGCTGTTTTTTCACCAGTCAAGAGGTAGTTCAAGATAGTTACGCTCAAGGAGATGTCCAGATACCTCTCCCCTTCTGCTCTGATAATGTATTTGTAGGGCTAAGTACAATATATTTAATACAATCAAATAGGAGATATTTCACCTGAAGACACATTTGAAATACAAGGTTTATTTTTCTCAGTTTCTTTTAAATCTGTTAGTGCTAAGCTAAATTATCAATTAAAGGGGTTCATATAATCCAAAAATGCCATGCTGTGCTCTGTGTAGATCCGGAGATAAAACAATACTGAGGAGAAAAGCTTCCCCTTCCCCTCCATGAAATAATTACAGTTTCTTGTTCATATAGTTTCCTGAGTCCATGAGCACTGGGAATAAATGGGAAGTTTACATTCTTATTCTCTAGGCTGAATATGTGCATAAATCAATTCATTTGTCTCTAGCTTCAGGCTCTGCTCCTCACATCTCTGTTGAGGGTTACCAGGATGGAGGGATCCGACTGGTGTGCCGATCGGCCAGATGGTACCCAGAGCCCGAGGTGCTGTGGAGAGATCTCAAGGGACAGCCCTTACCTTCATCCTCTCAAACAAATTCCCGAGAAGCCAGTGGCCTGTATGAAACACAAACTTCTATCATTATAACAGAAAATTCAAATCAGAACTTGTCTTGTTTGGTCAGGAACACCCACCTTGGCCAAGAAAAGGAATCAACATTATTTTATATATCAGGTCAGTAGCCATCAAAAACCCACAAACTGTTGTTGTTTTTTCAGCAACATTAAAAAAAGACAGCTGTGGTCAGATGTTGGTTATATGTGTGTTCTCTGACACACACTACATACAACACAGGGCAGCCTTACAATTAAAAACAAATGGCGCCAGAATTCTATTCATAATTGTACAAAATAAGGCATTAACAACTTAGTTATGAAAGCAATGCATTTAAAAAAAACCCAGAGAGATAAACAAAAGGGTTAATAATCAAGTTATTAACTTGTTATTTAAAACTTTTAATAATTGACAAACATTCATATTAAATTTGCTAAATTTGTTGTATTAATTTAGTAATTTAAGGCATTTTCAATTTATATTAACTTTATTTTAAAACCCTGCTATATGGAAATAAGGAAAACCCATGTTTCAAATATTAATCAGTGGTTAGGATTAGAACCAGAGCCTGCATTTCTGTTACTAGGCAACCGTATCTTCAAGAAAGTTAGGAGTACTTCCAGTTGTTGCATTCCTGAAGGGTTAAAATAATTAATTTACTGGAATTATTCAAAGTAAAGTGTTTACCTTGTTTTCTCTTTCTTTGTTGTTCTGTTCTGTTTTCAATTGCTTTATCTTTTGGAGGTGTCTGTAAAAACTATAACTTTTAAAACAAAAAGAGAGCAGCGGGGAAGGAGAGGGATGAGCAAACTAGGAAGGTAGCGAGAACTGAGCCCAGAGAGCTTAACTCTATCAAGGTATCTTAAAGTATAGGCAGCAGCAGTAATTTTAGCAAACTGAGAAAGGATATAAAGGATATAAAAATATTTGAGAAAGAAGGTTATATTTTTAGCTCTGAGTGATATGTGTGGCTCCATGGGTTAAAGCAGTTGGGAACCCACACTCCTGGTTTTTATCCTAGCTCTGAGAGGATACTGGGGGTCATTACTTGCTCTTGCAAAACCTGCATTTGTTCCCCCAATGTGTGTTGCTTTTATTTGCATGCCAAATGGATTACAGGAATGCCCTTTTTTGCTGCAGTTACCTGTTTTTGGGCAACTCCATGTGTTCATGCATCAATTCTAATCTCAGTTTTTCACTTTGAAATCCTTTTTTATTCACTCCCCTGTGATCAAGTCACAGCTTCTGTCTCCTAATGTGCTCTGTGAACTGTTCCATTTTTTCCTTCATCTGATTTACCAATCCTGTGATAGTATTGTCTGCTACTTTTCCTCCCTCTGCACTTACTTCTCCTTCTTCTGACTGGCACTAGTTTAGGTCCCGATTTAACTTTTACCGGAACCTGGCTTTTATTGTACGGTGATGGTTGCACTGCAGTGGCCCCAGTTTAATTTTATAATTTTGTTAAGGCCACCTTTTTCTATTTCTGTCCCCATTCTTCAGGCACAGGGTAGTTACCTGAAGTCCACTGTTCACTACCAATATTTAAAACATGGGTGCGACGTTCCCCTCTGGTGTTATCTGGACCGGTGATCTACTAGGTCACTCCAATCCTTGACTCTGGGAGCCAGCCTTACCCTGCTCTGCTGTGAGAACCCCCACTCCTGGGCTCTTCATGCACAGCCTCTGGCATGTAAGCTGCTCCTTAGATTGTGCAACCGAAGGACACTAGCCAGTATCTCTGGTCCCAGACACAACCCTAGGAACCTCCGTCTTGCAGTGTCCAGTTATGCCCACTGGACACTGCAAGCTTGTATGAGGTTGTCAATTTAACAAAGAAATTGATATGCAACAGGCTTGTTATCCCAAGGGGAGTCTCTGACACTTTAAACCAAATACACTGCTTCAGGTAGAATAAACAAACAAAATCTATCTTTGTAGTTAATAAATTTAAGTGATTATAAGTCAAAACATAACTAGTCGCATTTGGTCAAATGAAATAAAAGCAAAATGCATTCTAAGCTGATCTTAACACTTTCAATGCCCTTACAAACCTAGATGCTTCTCACCAC